CCCCGCCCCCGCGGGACTCACTCCCCACCCTACAGCACTCCCGGGCCTCTTGGATCGGTGCCACGTGCTCTACCCCCATGACAGGTCCCCTGCCCAAGGACAAGCTCCGGGATTCCACCTCTATACCCCACGGTCCGCCAGGGACTCCCCACGCGCAATTCCGTTTGCCGAACCGTCCGGCCTGGAGAAGAAAACAAACCCAGAAGCCACCGGGGAGAGCCACCAGCAAGGATGGGATCCCCAACGGACACCACCCCCGGGCCTCTCTTTACCAGTGATGCTATCTGATTGCCCCGCGTTCCAATTCCCCAAATCCTGAGAAAGCCTCCTCCCTGTTCAGAGCCAAGGAATCGCCCTACCAGGGGGAGGCCAGCCTCTTTAAGAGGGACAGCTGGAGCTAAAAGCCCACCAGCATTTAAACGCCACTCCTCGGAAGTTTCCAAAAGTTCCAGGTGAGGGAACAGTGTACCTAGAGGCTGTGCCACGAAGGGGCCACAGGCCCCGCCTCCCAGGCCCTCCTTCTTCGTCTAATCCTGCAGTAAGTGACTCATCGTCCCCTGGGCCAGACCCCATCAGAGTGCGGGCAGACACAGAGAAGCCTCAGGCAGGCGTTAGGCTGCAGGAACTTCCCATCACACAGGGACAGACGGATAAGTGCTACAGGGGTCAGATGGGATCGAAAGGAGAACACAAGGCAGGAGAAAATGTCCCGAAGGACATGTCCCGGCTGGGTCTCCAGGCTCCCACAGGGGGCTCCCCTGGGAAGTGGGGACAGTGGGCACAAAGGTGCAGGGGTGCGGACTAAGATCACTGAGGGGAACCAGTGGGGCTCCGGAGCCGGGGGGCCCTCCTCGTCTGCCTCCACTCACCTCTGCCCCCCACCTTCTCCTCTGTCCCACAGGAACACGTCCCTCCACTGTTGTCTGAAAACACAGCAGAACAGAGTGGCCCGGCCAGATCTTCCAGGGGCCCAACCGGCTGTGAGAAGGAACAGGGCTGGGCTAGCCGGCAACATTGAGGACAAGAGAGGTGTAGACCATCAGCAGGGGGCCGGGCACAGGCCAGCGCCAGGAGACAATGGGAAAGGCCCAGAAGTAGGGCCAACCGGCAACACAGGTTTTCTTCAAGTGGGAGGGAGAAGGGTGTGCATAGCTGCTCTGGCAGGACTCCAGGCCTGGAGTCACACGGTGGGGAGGACATCAGCCTCAGAACATCCCCCGGCCCCCCATCCCACTGTGCTTGGCGCCGGCCGAGTGCCAGTGAACAGACACATCTGAAACAGTTCCAAGGACGGGCCCCCCTCCTCTGAAAGAAAGCACAACAATGGCACCAAGTGTCCCCCAGTTCATCCGGCCTCGCCTAGGTCACTACGATCTTGCCAAGTCTTTCTCACCAACTCTGGGGAAGAAGTCAAGGCCTTCAATGCGTCCTTCTCCCCAAATACAACCTCCTGAACTGTCTTCCCTGGCAGTGGTTTTCTCGTGGGACCCTCGCGGTACGTAGGACAGCCTCTTTGCCTGGCAACCCGACGCTGGCCTGAGTCTTCTTTAGGCTCACAGAGACCAAGTTCTCTTTCAGCAGGAAGCACCTGGATGTTACTTTAAGACCACCTGCATCAGCGGTTCCCATCTGAGGGCCGTTGTGTCCCCTAGGGCACATCTGGCAGTGAGGTCCGGCTGCTGATGCCGACTGACGTCAAGGGGGTAGAAAGCAGGGGTGCTAAATCTCCTACACTGCACAAGACAGCCCCCCACGACAAATTACCTGCCCCCAAATGCTACAGGGCTGAAGGTGGGAAACTGGCCTTGCAGTTGCGGTTTCGGGGCAGTGGGGCGGAGCCCAAGTGCACAGATAATCCTGAATACTTGCTTCTCAGCTCAAGGGCCTGAGCTCCGAAGTCACGGAGCAAGCCAAGATGGACAGACCCAAGTTCAAGTTCAGACACTGGCTGGTTTATAACTATGGGCAAGTTACTAAGCTTCTTCCCACCTTAGTAAAATGAGGGAAGTGCTACCAGCCCCATCATGAGGAAGAAACGATTAAATGAGGCAACACGGGGCTTTCTGGGTGCCAGAAATGGAGACAGATGGGCCCAAGCAAGGCAAGTTTGAGTCCCTCCCCAGGAACAAGGGAAGCAGCCCGGCCTGGAAGCAAGGAACCCCCTCAGTGTTGGGGGACAGCCAGGAGCCGTCTTCCCGCAGAACGGAGCCGCAGATAGCACGGTCAGTCCTCACAGCCTCCCCCGCTGGCCCCTGTCCTGGGCGCTCTCCCCTCTGGCTGCCAACATCCAGCCCCTGCCTCCAAGGGGCCACTGTCCTGAGGGCAGTCACCTGGCCTTCAGTGCCCCCTTTCTGGGAAGGCTCCCAACCACCTCATCAGGACATACAGACTTCAAGCCCTGCTTACATCCCAGAACCAGCGGCCCTCTGCGAAGGGTCAGCTCAGGCCTGGGCCCGCCGTCAGGCTGCGCGCAGTCCCTGCTGGCCGGAAGGTGACCTGTCCTGCTTCTGCCCAAGGCTGGCTTCCCTTCCTCCAGGGAGCCCCACTGGCTTATCTGCAGGGCTCTTAGCCCTGGGGCGCTGTTTTTCTCCCCTCTGTGAACTGAGCCACCAGCTCCACTACCCCCCCACCCCCACCCCACAGAGCTAGTAAGCTGTGGTCAGAATACAAGACCCCCACTCCCACCCCCAGTCCAACATAA